TAGATCTCCTACTGGTCTGTTTCTCTTGTTGAACCCTGACTGATACAGTTTCTAATGAACAACTGGGGAAAGAGAGCAAGAGAAAACACCTGATAATGTACAGAAGCTTCAGAGCTGATTCATACTTCAATTCTCATTAAAGCCCCTTAGAGGGGATGACCTGGCACAGAGCCCAGAGCATCCTTCTTTACACTTCTCAGCTCCAAGATGGTTTAGGAGATAATCCCAAATCTTCTCAAGCTCTGAAGTTTGAATAAGGCTGAGAAAAGGTGAGAGATCCTAGAGAAATTCTGTGGTTAGGAAAAGGCAGAGTGAGCTGTAAAAATATGAAACTGGAGAGTCCAGGGGAATACACAGTTCAAGCAGTATGACAGGGTCTTTGCCCAGAAATCTGTGGAGCCCGGACACTCGGAAAGAAGCCAAAGACCAAAGGCAGTCAGCAAGTAAACCTCTGAAACACAGCTCTTTACCCCGAAAGAAACTGAAAAAAATCTTGAAGTCATTATGTTTAGCTATGTTTTCCACTATCAGTAGAAACACAGGGCTAGAGTTAAGTTCAGTTAATACCAAAATTTGATTTTACACACCTCAGATACCAATTCTTCTTTTTTTTTTTTCCTTCAGACAGAGTTTCACTCTTTGTGTGCAATGGTGCAATCTCAGCTCACTGCAGCCTACGCCTCCTGGGTTCAAGCGACTCTCAGCATCCCAAGTAGCTGGGATTACAGACACCTGCCACCACACCAGTTAATTTTTGTATTTTTAGTAGAGACGAGGTTTCCCCATGTTGGTCAAGCTGGTGGCGAACTCCTGACCTCAGATGATCTACCCGCCCCAACTTCCCAAAGTACTGGGATTAGCAGGGGTGAGCTACCACACCTGGCCTAATTATCCTTCTCTTTAGGGAAGGAGGTTTCTGCTGTTTTCTGTTCTGCAGTTATCACCTATGCTGTGACATTTTTCTGACTCTGAATCCAGGGCTTTAAGGATGCTGGAGAGGGGAGCCCATGCCAGGAAAACAGTGACATGGAGCCTGCCTCGGGACCTGAATCTTTAGGAGATCTCAGTTATCATCTGCTGGAGCCAGATTAACGGTCCACAAAGATGTCCATGTCCAGGACAAGAAAGACAAGTAGATTCTGCCAAATAACAGAGAAAGTCAGTACAACTGAAAATATAACTATACTGCATGAATGACGATACGGGGAGAAGCAACGCGGAGGTAAGATGTAACGTTAAGTAAGCCAAAATCCTCATCTTCCAGGGGAAACAACTAGTAGACATTACCTAAAAGTTTAAATAACGCCTTTTATAAGCATATTATCCAGTTATGGAGGCAGGTGGCAGAGGAGAACAAAAAGGCTATTAGAGAAATTTCTTCCAGGAAAAAAGAAAAGGAGGTAGGGTAGCGAAGGGAAGGGATAGAAAACTCTTTTTACAATACAGTTCCACACTCTTGTTTTCTTCAAACACCCTTGCCTGTTATGCTATTAAAATTTTAAGAAAATGACTGAATAAACCCCGTTTTCTAGCAAGGACTATTTCATTTCAAAAACAATGCTTTCATTTTATTGGGGAAAAAAGTTCATTTTATTACAAACACTAAATGAGCCTAATAATATCCACCTGAAGTCGGGTGTTTGGTAAGACAGCTCTCTCCAAGTAAAAATTATTATGATTTTTTTAAAAAGCCAAATACAAAAGCATTCATTTTTCATTGCTGCGTAGCAAATTACCACAAGTTTACCAGCTTAAAACATAAATTCATTACCTCATGGTTCTGTAGGTCAGAAGTACAGGCACAACATGGCGATTCTTTGCTCAGGGTCTTACAAGGCGGAAATCGAGTCAGCCAGACTTCATTTCTATCTGGCGGCTCTAGGGAAGAATCTCTTTTCCAGCTCCTTCAAGTTATTTGCTGAAACAAGTGATGGTGGTTGTACAACTTAGGTCCCTGCTTCCTTGCTGGCAAAAGCGATATAGTCTCCTACATCTTCAAAGTCAGCAAGGGAGACTCTCCCCCCTACTGGAGACCTCTCACTCTTAGAATTTCTTTTGCCAGCTAGAGCCCAGTCCCTTTTAAAGGCTCGCCTGATTAGCTCAGGCCCAGCAAGCTAGTCTCCCAGTTTTAAGGTAAACTGCTTTGAGACCTTAATTACCTCAGCAAAACTCTTCACACTTGTTACCTAGGTACCTAGATTAGCATTTGATTGCATAATTGGGAGGAGGTGTGTGTTTAACAGCAGTGGGACTCTTAGGGTTCATTTCAGAATTGTTTGCTACAGCAAGCAAATCAAGATTATAATCTCTTCAACAGGATTTAACAGGTTATTTACATACTGCAAGTCAAAATCTTTAAGTATATAAATGCAATGAATTTTTTCCCCAGCATTATTGAGATTTAATTGACAAACACTGCAAATGTTTAGGGTGTATGCTATTTTGATATATGTTATATTGTAAAATAATTGCCACAGCAAAGTTAATTAACATATCCATCATCTCAGTTTTGTGTGTGTGTGTGTGTGTGTGCGCGCACGCACATGTGCGTGTGTGTATGTGTAAGAACATTTAAGAAGTACTCTCTTACCGTATTTCAAGTAGCCTGTCTTCCAAAAATAATTTTTCTTGATAAGATAGTCTGCTGCTCAGGTACAATAAGTAAAACTTAGGAACAACTTAAAAGATGGAAGCAACATGATGTAAGAATTCTAAAAATTAATTCCACCTATTTAAAAAATCCAGTTCAATTATATCTAGGTAACTGATAAATCTCATTATGGTAGCCTAATAATTTTTAAAAGTTTAAATCAAAGTTTAAATGGTGAAAGAATGCTCCATGGAGGAAATTAGGAAATGTACCATAGAGAAAATCATCAAGGAAGAAATCAGACTAGACTGAAAGTTATAGCCAGGGAGTTATTAGCAGTAAGAGTACATCCCATTAGCTTTGTCAACCAAAACTATTGTTACAGAAACTGTAAAATGCATACTCTTTTGTTTATATTTATTGTTCTTCTCTCTTTTCTTCAATAAACCTTAGCATTATCACTTGATGTAAGAAAGTATAGGACAGGGATAACTTCAGTTCTCATCCTGCTGTGCAACTTTGGAGAAGTCATTTATCTCTGTGCCTTACTAGCTGTCTGTAAAATAAAATCATCTTATAATTTGGGAGCTAAAATGGACCTTTGAGACCATGATCTTTACAGTTTCACCCAGCTCTAAAGTCATATTTACACAAACATCAATTTTTAGAGAGGGAAAATATTCCACCTAGAGAAACTTTAATGCATATAACAGAGTATTTCGTTTCCTGGTTGGAATAAGTTATCAATTTTAATTTTAGAGTAAGTGTCTACAGATGTTTTAGTATTTCAGTTAAGTCAATCCTCTTGTGCCTGCCCCATACCTTGTAATTCTAGGCACTGCACTACTCTTTTGTTTATGTAGTCAAGTTCTCTATTTACATCAGTTGAAAGAATTTCATTATCCTACAAAGTTGCAGATGCTTCCAATTTCAAGGCCTAATGTATTAAAATCAATTCGGCTTTCTTGTAATAATAAAGCCTTGTCAGTGACCTGCTTGGCATGATGTACAAAAAAAGAAGGCAGAATTCACAATTATATTATTTTGAACTTTAGTATTATATTGACATTCCCGGACTTTGGTATAATTTAATTCAGTTCACATTGACTGAGAATTGTATCTGATTTTGTGCCACATCTTAAGTTTCCTGGGGACATCTTATCCTCAGCACAAAGCACAATGTTTAGAACTTAGTGGGTTTTCAAAACGTTTCCAGAATGACTATATATAATGCACAATCTCTGCTTTCAGAGAGCTTATGTCATAGGAGGCAAGATGGAAATATGACAAATGACAAAATGAAATAAAATACTAAATCCCATGGTGGTGCATGTGTTACACAGAGTGGCAACCAAAGATATTAATGTTGTAATCCCTGGAACCTGTGAATATTTTGTACAACAGCAAAAGAAAACCTAGCTTGCAGATGGAATAAGGTTCTGATTAGCTGACCTTAAATCACATGATCTCTTAAGTCAGAAAGCAGAAGACAGAAGAATAAGTCAGATAGATGTGACATAAGAAGAACCAGATACACCTATGTTGCCTTAGAAGAGGTAGAAATGTGACCACAAAACCCAAAAAAATGTGGGTGAATGCTAGAAGCATAGAGCAGCAAGGAAACAGCTTCTTCCCTGCAGCCTCCAGAAAACAACACAGCCCTACTGATATCTTGATCTTAGCTCAGTAACTCATTTCAGAATTCTAACTTACAGAACTGCAAGAATACACTTGTGTTGTTTTACAACACTGTGGTATAATAGGTTGTTATGGAAGCCAGAAGAAACTAATCTGGGGTTACAGAATTGGTTTCACCTGTGAAAAGGCTTCACTGTGCTGGTATTTCACTGAGCCCTGAAAGGTTTGGGTGCAGTGGAGTAAAACAGTTGTTTGTGAGTTAAATTCTCGCTATTTCAAATATGGTCCCTTCTGAACAGCACTGGTGGAAACTGCTCACTTTCTTAAAATGTGAGATGTCACCTCCGGCTGCACAGCAGACCTACTGAGTGAGCATCAGCATTTTAACAAGATCCTCAAGTAATTTGCATTCATATTAGAGAAGCACTAGGTTAAATTTAATAAAAACTATTTTTAAAGGTAAGAAACATTTGATTCTTCTTTTTTGACAGACAAATGGTTGGAAAAAAAATATTTAAACACACCAGGTTGCTATTTGTTACCAACAACAATAGGAAAAATAAAAATATCTGCTCTTAAAGAATGAAGAAGTTCTTTCAACCTTCAGTAAAATCCATCTGCCCCTATCTACAAAGGATTTTCCTTCTTTGAAAACTCCCATGAGTTGAAAGATTATAAATGTCAAGATTTTATTACCTTAAATAAATATTAGAATCCCTGGAAGAATACTCATAGAACCAGCTTGTGGAGGACAAAATAATTTCAATCACAATACATTTTCTTTAATTACTTTAATATAAAAGACAGCAATGTTCCACATTTCACATATTTGAAAAACATTTCAAAACCTTCTAATAAGTATTTAATGAAAATAAATTTATTGAAGAGTAACAATGACCACAAAATTAATACTACTAAATCATTACTGATACCTTTTGTATTATAATATTTGGAGAGTAGGTGGAGAAAACATAGAACACAACATGAACACTTTAAAATGATATTCTACCCAGGCTTTATTTTTTGCTAAATCTTGTAGATATCAGAAGATGTATTCAAGATGGTTGTAAAGATATTCAGCTAAAGTCATACTTGAAAAATGTTAAAACAGCCCTTCACCAATAATGTAATATTGCAAACCCTTCAATCCCATCTGTTTACAAAATTAAAATGAACAATAATCCAATGAGCTTTTTAAAAGACACAGTTAAAAGAGAGAACATTAACAGAAAATTAGTAACAGTGACCAAAATAAAAAATCAGTATAATCAAGAAAGATATGTAATTATTCAGCATTATTTGGTATGGATAGATCAATGCAACTCACTCAGTAAGTGGACATTGTGAGGGGAGTGGGTAACATGATCCGCAGTCCTGTGTGTAAAATCTATACAATAATCTTATTCCAATCAATCTGTAAAGTAAAAGCACTACATCCACAATAACATTATAACATCTTACAGTAATATAAAAGTCAAATCATTATTGGTACTTCGTTTTCTTTAAAGTGCACAATTTAAGAAAACTTCACAAGAGTGTGCACTTCAGAAAGATACGATCAGAGTACACAGTATAGACAAAACAGGCACCTTCACTGTAATTGTTTTAATAAATAAAAGCACATAAACAAAACAGGAAGGTAAGCAGCACCTGAAGCCTTTGACATTTGTAACTAAATGCTGGTACCCAAATGGTCTAGCTGGTTAAGTTTCACTAAGAGGTGCAAAAAGGAGCCGTTTTTGACTTAACATTTTAATTCTAGTAGAGATAAGAAGAGCTTGTGTGGGCTTCCAGTCCTTCACCTGACTGTCTTTCACCAGTGTATTGCACACCAGTCCTTCAAATGTCCTATACTTTGGAAAGCAGACCCGATTCTGGAGCACTCGCCTTAATTAGATTCTGAATTTCCTTGAATTTTGGATGGTCTTTATCAGCTACCAGCTGAAGCAGAACAGCCTCACTTGTGGTCACTATGATCCCGGTTCGAGCGAGACGCTTTAACAAAAAGATAAAGGCAAATCAAGAAATAAGCATGAGAATGAACACTATTTTAAAAGAGTAAGACTATTCTGGGATACAATCATTAGTGTCCTCTACTGAAACCATGGTTCCCAGCCATACCATCAAATTCAACAATGGGGATGGGTTTTAAGACCAGTCATACCACAAAATCAGTATGATTATTCTTAATATTAAGTAAAGTGTACTAGGAACAAGTAAAAGTCAACAAGTTGCCAATTTTATGCCATATATGTGCCCCAAACAGGGATCATCAAGACTAATGACTATAAAACATGAGATTACAGAGAGAAAAGGAGTGGTTGGAAACTATATGACCATCATTAAACATTTGGACATTTAATTGCTACTATTTCCTAAATGTTCCTGGCACGTTTGTGCTTCATCTGTTACTCATTCATTGACTCAAATGAGGGCTGCTTGTGACTGCTTTTTATTATTATAAGATCTGGGATACAGGTGCAGAATATGCAGGTTTGTTACATAGGTATACACATGCCATGGTGGTTTGCTGCATTCATTACCCTGTCATCTACATTTGGTATTTCTCCTAATGCTATTCCTCCCCTAGCCCCACACCCCGACAAGCCCCGTTGTGTGATGTTCCCCTCCTTGTGTCCATGTGTTCTCCTTGCTCAACTCACACTTACTAATGAGAACACACAGTGTTTGGTTTTCTGTTCCTGTGTTAGTTTGCTGAGAATGATGCTTTCCAGCTTCATCCATATCCCTGCAAAGAACATGAAATCATTCTTTTTTATGGCTGCATAGTAATCTAAGGTGTGTATGTGCCATATTTTCCTTATCCAGTCTATCACTGATGGGCATTTGGGTTGGTTCCAAGTCTTTGCTATTGTGAATAGTGCTGCAATAAATATACATGTGACTTCAAAATTAATTAAACTTTTATTTCTAGTTCTACTATTGAGATTTTTTAAAAGGTGCCTCTGTCCACTTTTCCCCCTCTGCAGTTTAACTGAGAAAATATACAAGATCATGATGCATATTAATACTTATGCCTGGCATTCCTGATATTCTGTTGCTATTTATGTTTTAAAAATGGAGGGGGGTGTAATATTCCTAAAGCTCCATTAGCTGTGCTATTGATATAATTATAGCTGTCCAAAACATTTCATTAGTAATTAATTATCTAATTTCATATAAATTGTTTAATTGGATTAAAAGTACTGTAAGAATTAAAATGATAGTTCTTAATTTCTTTTTACTGCACCAAAGCATCTGACCTAAGCATGTGAGTACTTTCTATAATTAAGAACTCCTTTATCTAGAAATTATGGGTGGTAAAAGAAAAAATTATGGGTGTGAAGTTTAAGCATGTACTCCCTGGATGATAAGGGAACCACCACTGCTACTGCCATCATAAACATTGCAGTATCACTAAACAAGAGTGTAAAATGGTTGTGACCAGTTTCATTGACAGGTCAAAGAATGCCCTTGCCAAATTGTCCCAGTGGAATCATAATACTAAGGACAGAAACTCAAGGAGGAAAACAGAGAGAAAAATGACAAGAAAAAGGGAAGAAAGAAGAGAAAGAGGAGAGCAAAGAATAAAAAGTCAGGGTTTGAAGGGCAGAGGGAGGGAAGGAGAAAAACAGAAGAATTCTATAGCATGAATTCATTCTCTGGATTCGTTATCAGAAAAGGGGGAAAACATGCAAACTGTTATCACAAAAAGCATACATGTAAAAAGCATGGAAGATGAAGTAGTTAGAAACAATTTCTAGGCAAGTCAGAGGAAAAAACCCAGGAAGCACTTGCAGAGTATAAGTCAAAGTCTTCCTTCAATGGCTATACATCAGCCAACTGAGCCTTTCCACTGGTAGCTCTTTATTTTTATCTCTAATGAGGTAGAATAGAGTATAAGCCATAAGCTACTTGTCAGAAAGCAAGCTTGGACCTCAACGACCAGTACAGAAAAGGGTACAGAGCAGCTAGCCAGAACTCTGCAGTAATTAAAACAACAACAAACAGCAGGTATTTATGGGGGTTGGGGGCCTGGGGTAAGGCTGTTGGCTTAGACACATATGAGTTATTTCTGAGGATTTTTTCAAGACTTCTGGAAGCCTTAATCTCCTCCTCCTTGCTTTACAGTCAGCTGATTAGTCACATCAAAAACATTCGAAAATATGAAAAGATCATGTGCTTGCTTCAGACACAAAGGCAGATAATAAATAGGACTAGCTACAGTCCAGTTGTGTGAAAACAGCACTGAATATCTAGTGATTCATATCCAGCTCTCCCCATCACCAGCTGCCTGCCCTGCCCAGCCCTGCCTTCCCTACCGCTCACTGTTGAATCAGTTGACTTGCAATGATTCAGTCTGAATCAAGGACTAAATCGCAGGCTTTCAATGTCTGTGGGAGGGCTTTACACTGCGTACTCCAATGTGCCAATAAAGGTTAATTCTCAATAATCTTCCTAGTTCTTTAGTGAGTCAGGAAGGAGAGAAATCTGTTCCCAGGCTAAGGAAGGAAGCTGGTGACCCTGGAAGAAGCCTGTCTACAATGTCCAGCCTTCCCTAATGCTCTGCTGACCTGAGCCTGGTCCATTACAGCCTAACAAGCCTCAGTGATGCTGAGAGTCAGGTCACCATGGCCAGGGGTAGAGTGGGAAGCAAACATCACAGAAACACATTTTAGGAAAGTGACACCTACACACTATTACTTTGCTTCAAGATTGAGATGTGGCCAATACTGACTAAGTTTTAAAATAATCTAGCCAGGAACCTATGTTAGGGGAAGTTGTAGCTTGGCAAATGCAGTTCTTCAATCTGGCTGTTAGCTGTTCCCCATTGCCTGCCCTTTCCCAACCAGAGAAGGTGCCTGAGCAGAGAGAGAACAGCAGCAGCTTTCCAGGCCTACCTGGCAGGTTCCTGCCCACCATCCTGACAAAGCCGGTCCCCAGCCCACTTTCTCTCCTGGCTTAAAAAGGGGCAATGAAAACTCTAGCCATTTAATGCACACAGGTATATGTGCAGTAGACTTCTGAAGTTCTCCCCTTACACTTGCAAAACTAGTACAACTAGGCCAAAGGAAAAGAAAGGTTGCTCTGACCCACAAACCTAAAAAATGCACATGCACTAAGTCATGAAAGCCGCAGAGGGGGAAAAAGACTAAACCCATTAGATTTCCAAGTAACACTAAAACTCCCCAGATGTACAAGGACATCAATTTCAAGAGAGAATTTTATTCTCTTACTCTTCATGCACTCTACAGTTGTTAATTGAAAGAAGTAAGGTCTTTCAGACAAATACCCCAGAAGACATTTATTGAATAAAGCACATGCCACAGACCCTGGTACAGTGAAATTTCAATAATGCAAACTATGAATCTTATAATAATCTCAACAGGCAATATAGATAGATTTGGGAATTATCTTAAGTAGTTATGTTCTAAAGGAATAGAGAGGAAGAGGAAAGGACCGCAATGGTATTTTAACTTTCACAGTCATGGAAACAAAGAACCTTTAACATTCCCCCACCTCCTCAAATTTAGGGACAACGTAAATGACCTCCATATCAAATCAAGATTAAGAGAAAAAATCTGTAATATGTCAGGTCTTCCCTATGACCATCTGACTTATCTATGATCGGTTTTCCCCTTTCAACCTCAACACTTTAACCCTAGTCAATGCTGGTGCTCCAGGCTCTTCCAAATCCACCCCAGACAACAGATTCTTTCTCTCCCTTCTCAGAACATTCCAGGACTAGTGCCTTTTGAGTCTAAAAGGTTATGTGCTTAGACATCTCTGGTGACTAACCTCATGAAGACAACAATCAGTAACAAAAAAAGCAGTAGCTAACATCTGAGTATTTACTGTGTCATGCACTGTCCTAACTGCTAACAATATATTATCTCATTCCATTCTCACAAAAATCCTATCATCTTGTTGCTATTATCATTTCCATTTCACCAATGAGAAATCTGAGGCATAGAGACTACACAACTTGTTCAAGGATACAAATTTATAAAACACCAGAACCTGCATTCAAACCCACATTATCGCCACATTGTGTGGATTCCTAATCCAAGAGATTACAGACTGCCTCTCAAAGAATGGTTCAGATGAGAATTACATTTTCAATCTCATTCTTGTGCAAAGACAGAATTGTCAATCAAAATTTTACATGAGTTGCCATAACAAAGACATATCTAACAAAATATTAATGTATGAGAAAAATCATTGAAAAAGTCTTTTTTTTACAAGCAAGGAAGTTTTTTTTGTGTTTTTCATTTTTTACTTCCCAAGTTCTGGACTTCAGCATTACAAGAAAGGGTTATCCACAGTGGCTGAAAGAACTGCTTGTTGAGGTGGTGAAGACCTGACAGTAAAGTGTTTAAACTCAGGTTACTAGGAAAACTTGAAAAGTAGGAGTTGATTAACTCATGACTATAAGAACGGATTAAAGGTCTGGCCAGGAGTGGTGGTTCATGTCTGTAATCTCAGCACTTTGGGAGGCAGAGGTGGGTGGACCACCTGAGGTCAGGAGTTTGAGACCAAGCTGGCCAACATGGCAAAACCCCATCTCTGCTAAAAATATAAAAATTAGCATGGCGGTGGGCACCTGTAATCCCAGCTACTCAGAGGTTGAGGCATGGAGAATTGCTTGAACCTAGAGGCAGAGGTTGCAGTGAGCCAAGATGACACCTCCGTACTCCAGCCTGGGTGACAGAGCAAGACTCCGTCTCAAAAAAAAATAAGAAAGGATATGACTAAAGGTCTTTGTTGAGATTGAAAGAAGCAACACTTATAGTACTTAACTACCAAAGATTCTAATAGTCTAATGAATTTGAAAACAGCTAAACAAAATAAATAATTTCCATATAATTTCTATTTGTAATCTCAATATAGGATTCTGCTTCAGGAATAGTAATAAGGACCCTAAAGCAACTGCTGTTGCCATCTACCCGCCTGCTCCCCACCACCCTGTGGCCCTTTACTCTCCTACCTTCTTTCCTCTGACAAGCTCCTCCCCTTTCTCATTGCTCTATCTTACCACCCTGGAGCACACACTAGGCTAAAGGCATGAGTTAGCATTCCTACTTGACTACACACAAGGCAGTCCACAGGCCAGACTGTGCATCAACACAGGAGGGTCTCAAAAAAACAAACCCCTGTATTTCCCATTCTCAATAAACAGTTAAAGAGCTCAGCAATTAAATCCACATGCACATTTCTCTAAAATTATTACAAAATTAGAATTAAATATGAGAGAGAGAGATCAAACCACAATATGGAGTGAATGTTTCCCAAGATTATGTGGCAAGTCTTTTAAAAGTCTTGGAAAAGAAAATGCTTGATGTACTACTGTTGGGAAATGCTGACAGAGAATTACACACTCCCAGATTCTATGGGACATGGTGACACTCTAATGCCAGGGTGCCATGAAGCACTGTATGTGAGTGGTGTCCACAGTCAATGATACACATCCTAGTCCGAGAAATTCAAGTCTGAGGAAATCTAACCGTCATCTCTTAGTATTCATGAGGAATTGGTTCCTGGATGCCACCTGACCCCATACCAAAATCCATGAATGCTCAAGTCCCTGATATAAAACAGCATAGTATTTGTATACAACCTATGCACATCCTGTATACATCATTTCTATATTACTTATAATACCCAATACAATGTAAGTGCTATGTAAATAGATGTTACTCTGCACTACTATTCTATTTATTTTTATTGTTGTGATGTTAGTTTTTATTGCTTTTTATTTCTGATGTTTTCTATCTCAGGTTGGTTGAATCCACAGACATGGAAGCTGCGGATATAGAAGGCTCATTACGTAACGTTAAACCAGGTTAGGCCCGCTCTGCTGTAGCTTTTGGCTAGATGAGTTAAACCCCACTGAAGTATTTTTAATTTGCAAACCTTTAAAAAGTTTAGGTTAGGCTTCTTGGAATATTTCCTAGTTCACGTATAAAACTAGGGCAAAAATACGACGAAAGACGTAAAGGAGTTTGTGACAACGTAAGAAACCTAGATCTAAGGAGGAGATGAGACATAAAATGGGATATGATGGTGAGGCCTTAAGGGTCAGTCAGTGCACAGTTGAAATCAAGCAGGCTGATGTTACCAGACGAAACTCAAATTTAGGCGGTAAACCTTTTATTACTGTTAAATATCCAGCATTCTTCTAATTTATTTGGAAAACCTGACAAATGATCTATTTCCAAGCAGGACAATTACCTCGAGGGCAAACATCCTGTCCATCATGCTTCTTGATGAGGTGGCATCAGCAACAATATGAACCTCAACTCCTCGGCCAACTAGCTCCAGGGCAGTTTGCTGGATGCACACATGAGTCTAGTAGGAAAGTAAAAAAACTCATATGTAATAACATGGCAAACTGAAAGTAGTTTACAAATGTACAACAACATGACAAAGTAGAAAGAGCACTATAAATCATCTAAGGACCTTGTTCTAAATCTAGTTTTGCTTCTAATTAACTACATAATCTGGAGCATAAAACGGTATCTCTGGCTTTGGCTTATTCATTTGTAAAATCAGGAACTGAATTAGACCAATGTTTCTGATACTAAGAACCTTAAACATATTCTTAGAGTTCTGCAAGAATTTGTTAAAGATTTTGCTCCATGTGATCTGGATGACCTTCACACAGCTGATTATTAGCACTCAGTTTTGGTGCCACTTTTGAGTTTATTTCTTCATTCACCCTAAGTACCCAACATGAAGAATGAATCTGCAGTCTTGGAGACTGAGAAGTTAGTGGGAAAACTGAGTCATTACAAGGCACTCTGTAGTAAAGGTAGGCCAAGTTAAAAATAACTCACGCAGGCAAAAAAATAACCAGTTCATATCATCAGCAAATGTATTATACAGATTCCATCTCTGTAAGTACTAACTTGTGACAATTCATTAACAGATACTATAGAGTGAAAACAGGCTTCAACAATAACTGAATCATATATTACAACTAATGAAAGTACACTTCAATGATACCACAATGTCAACTTTATCTTCACATGACAAGAGAGTTGTGGAGAATTATCAAACGACGCCTCATTAAAATTAGCATTTGAAGGACTACTCAAAGATAATTGTGATTGAGCATAAGGTCTAATGATGATGAACAGGCAAAAAAAAAAAAAAAAGGGCAAAGCCAGCAACACCACTTGGTACAACATATTTATATAAAACAGGCTTCTTCTCTACTGTATCAAAATACAGAAATATTGAACATACATCTAAAACTGAGGAAATGGCTTTCTACTATTAAAACCTACTACTATGAAACTTACCTTCAAATTGTCTTAATCGAATTAAATTAATATTTTTATTTCATTGTTTTTAGTGTTATTTTCATAATTTTTAAAATTTTAGTTTAATAGTTGTTTAAAAGCTAGGAATGAATCAATTGAAATCAGCAATAGGAATTCATTTGTATTTTTCCCCTGTAAAAAGATATATACATAATTTGAAAGACAATGAACTACATAACCTCCAAGGTTTTTCTAGCACAAAACTATGACCTAACTGAAATCCTACAAGACATAAATTAAAATAATGCCTTTGGTGAAAATGTGTTCCAAACGTAGTAGTTAAAAGTACAGGACCAAGAATCAACCAGCCTATATATATATTCAAGTCAGTTATACAACATCTCAGTATTTTAGTTTCCTCTTTAAAATGGGGAGACTATTGAGTATTTAGCTCTTAGGTAGCTATGAGTGACTTAATAAATAAACAGCTATAACATGTTCAGATTAGTGCCATGCAAATAGTGAACATAATACATGGTGGCTATTTGTCCTCATTTTTATTGTCTACATAGCATACAATACACAAAATTACATTTCACAAATATCGAGTTTTCTATAAACAATATTGTGCCTAAAACACAGTAACAGGTACTTACTTCTACTCCAAATAATACAACACTCCTGACTCCGGGAATCTCTGCTAATGCCGCTTCTACTTCTGGTAATACCATTGAAAATTTGGTCTTTGGAAGTACCAGTTTTACACCTGTTAAATCAATTTCTTGAACAGTGCTCCCAAGACCTTTAGGATACTGTTCTGTTACAATAACTGGAATTCCTAAAATCCGGGCCCCTTGCAACTGAAAAAAATAACCAAACACAAAACAATTAGCTATATACATATGTGTGTATATGACTGTATATCATGATTTAGCCAATAAGAACAAATAAATAAACAAGCATACCAATCTTTGTCCCACACTAATAATATCCCCAAAATACTTGATGGCTGGTCTGAACCTTTCTTGCATATCACAGCAGAAAAACACAGTGCTTGTAGGTGTAAGATTTCCCAAGGTAGTGAGCTGAGGAAAAAAAAAAGGATGATTTAGCACTTGTTATACAATGACATTTATTTTCAGTGGAGGTCAATAAAGGAAGAAAAATGGTCCTATTGTTTGAACCAGTAAGTCAATTTCTACAGCTATTATCCAAAAAAAGTATCTGAATTACAGAAAAAAAAAATACCCAAAAAGATGTTCTCTGAATTGCTTTTAATAGTGGAAATTAGAAATGAACAAAGGTCCAACAATACAGAAATGGTATAACACATTTTAACACATTCACATGATAAAACATTGTTTAGCCAATTAAAAAACATATGTATCTGTTTTTAAAGAATTCATACCATCCAAGGAAAAAGACATATAATGTTAATATTTAAAACGTGCAGTTCAATAGTATTTTAATAATGTAAAAATATGAGTAAAAGTAGAAGTATAGTAGATTACAATATTAATAAGTGGTTATATAATTAGGGATGTTGATAATTTCTTTTTTTTAACCTTTCCTATATTTTTCAAATGTTATTTAAACACATTTCCTGAATGTTATGTAAAAATGTTTCTTCAAAATCAGAAAAAGTGTTACAATAGAAAAAAATCTGATGATGGTGCTGCTTAACAGCATAAAAAGTAAAACTTAAAATATCCGTGTCAGGAATATAAAAATTAAAACAAAACAAAAAACAGATAGAAGAAAATCCAGAATTACTGGTTTCGCTGATATAGAAATATGAAAATGCGACTCTCAAGAATAACTTTTAGAGTTCAAACAAAATGCAAGGAAATGATATCAAGCACATCATTGCTGTTAAATGAAATGTCCTTTACTTCACAAGGAAGAGACCTATATTTGACATCTCCATTCTTAAACTATAGTTATTGCAATAAGGAAAGTTAATGTATTAAGACAGAAAGTGGGTATTAGATTACCAAGCCTCATATTAATTGCTGCAGTTGGTCTATAACAATTTAGGCCCAATATGGATCCACCAAAAAGCAAAAATCACCATTCAATATGAGAATTTACTCTCACTGGATTCTCAAAAGTCTGAGGTGCTTTTCTTTCTTTTGCAAGTTGCAGGAAGTTCTGTAAAGAATGCATTCTGGTCCTGAATGAACCATTACCAATACCCTTACCAGCCTCTCCTTAAATCATCCCTCTAATTATCCTATTTTGCTTCCTCTAAAACCACCTAAAGATAACAATTATAAATAATATTCTAGAGGAGTCTGTGTCTGGATTACATGGTTTGTCTTCACCACCAGCACTGCCTTGGACTCTCCTTAGTATCTCTGCAGGTGGTTGACTCTTTGGAAACAATTATTACAAGAATTAAATTAAGAAATCTTTAATCCTTAATGATGTAACTGTTCTAATTGGTTTTCACTTTGTTTCACATATGTCCTGGTCTGAGGTACCCTGGCACTTTAACCTCCCTCTGGTACTGACTCTACAGATGTTTATTAATTAGCCATGTACAATCCAATACCAAATTCATGTTAGAATGTGAGAGCCATCTGTAATTCTTACCCCATATATAGGGTTTTCCTACTTTTCCAATAAAGTGTGATCAAAATAAATACTCAAGCATATTATATAGTCTAGTTTTGGCTATTTCCTTGCTTAATATTTTAATGCAAGTATTAATACTTAAGCATATTACATAGTCTAGCTTTGGCTGTTTCCTCGCTTAATTTTTAATGCAGGTATTATGCCTCCACTTTGGCCATTTTCAAAAGTAGTGACAAGGATCTTATACATAAATGCATTGCTGGGAAGGCTAATTTTTGTGCACTTAGGATACTATTTTAAAAACCAATCACTAAATTCTCTGTACACATTAAATATTGACTCAAAAGGCTGAATATCTACGTTTTTATAAATTTGAATCATGGACTCCTAGGCATTCACAATGTGTCCAGGGCACACTACATAAAGCAGTTTGCCTGCAGCAGGCCTACTGAAATAACCACAATGCAACTAAGTCAATCTCCACAACAGATGAGAATCAGCCAAAAAGAAAAAAGTATGATAAAATTCCCAGGCAGTTGCCTAAGTATGGTGGAGGCCATTTACTAACATGCTTAGAGCTTACACTTGCTTAGAATTCCAGCTCTCAGATCCTATCCTATACTGTATTGACTCTGTATACATTCCTAAAAAGTTTGGTTGGTATGGTTTCCAAATTCACAGAAGGTTATAAACAGTAAATCAGAAAGGAAACTGCTGGAGGCAGGCAAACTGACAGCAGCAAGAAATAATAGCTGACAGAGAAAAGACTCAAAATACAATAAAAACAGATCAAAACTCAAATAATGCTACAGTCTAGGCCTCCGGTGGAGGAGTAAAAAGCTGTTCTAATTTATAAATTAGGAAAACATCATCCCAGCACACTCATTAAGAAACTGTTAAATTATATATTTCAGAAGGACTACAATATAAAATGGCCAAGATATTTTTAAGTTGAGGTATTAAAAGGAGTAAATCCTTACCTACCCAGGAACCCTAAACATCCAGAGTTGTGGTCTCCAGTTCTTGCTACGTGGTGTCTCCCTGACCTTCATTTTAGCCATGAGTTCTGGACAGGGGACCGCATCAGATGTGTCATATTAGACACAAATTGAGGAGGTCAAAAATATAGCCCTAAAATCCTCACCACTCTGCAAAACCTTTCCAGTATAGGAACTTACCATCCACAAACTTTCAGTAAACAAAGAATACAGTGGTAAGGCATGTTTTTAAAGCAGAGTACAGGTTACAATTTACTGAATAAAAAATATCCCTACCTTTTATAGACATTCTCCATATCCTCTTGAATAGGATGTGAAGAGTATCTATGTAAGGTGTTTAACTCCTTACATCCTCTTGAACGTTGCTACACTTAGTACTTTGCTTCTTAAGAGTAGAGTATAGAGGGGAGGAGTAACTTTACAATGGAGAGATGTGACGACTATGTCTCAGCCAGGTGATCAAGATTAATGTAATTAATGACATCATGTTAATAACATGTACACTTGATATGAGAATGACCCTCATGACCTTCCTCTTGAAATTTTACCAGTCCATCAATGAAAAAAACATCAAATGAATCAAAATTGAGGGACATTCTACCAAAATATCTGACCAGTGCTCCTCAAAACTGTCAAGGTCATTAAAAGCAAAGTCTGAGAAACTGTCACAGACTAGAGGAGCCAAAGGAGATATGACAACTAAATGTAATTAGTATTCTAGTTTGGATTCTGGAACGGAAAAAGGACACTAGGGAATAGCTAGTGAAATCTGAATAAAGTGTGGTTAACAGTAACGTACCAATGTTGTTTCTTTGGTTGTGACAAACATACTGCAGGAATATCAAATGTTAATGGTAGGGAATCTGGCTGGGCATGGTGGCTCATGTCAGTAATCCCAGCACTTCGGGAGGACAAGGTGGGAGGATCACTTAAGCCTAGGATTGCAAGAGCAGCCTAGGCAACACAGTTAAACCTTGTCTCTACAAAACATATTTTTTTTGAGACAGAGTCTCACTCTGTCGCCCAGGCTGGAATACAGTGGTGCCACCTTGGCTCACTGCAACCTCCGCCTCCCAGTACAAGTGATTCTCATGCCTCAGCCTCCCAAGTAGCCAGTATTACAGGCGTGCACAACTGCACCAGCTAATTTTTATATTGTTAGTAGATATGGTTTCGTGATGTTGCCCAGGCTGGTCTTGAACTCCTGGGCTCAAGTGATCTGACTATCTTGGCCTCCCAAAGTGCTGGGATTATAGGTGTGAACCTCCATATCCAACCTACAAAATAAATTTTTTTTAATTAGCTAAACTTGGTTGCCTAGCTCCCTAGGAGGCTGAGGTCAGAAGATCCTCTGAGAATGGAAGGTCAAGGCTGCAGTGAGCCAAAACTACACCACTACACTCCAGCCTGGGCAACAGAGCAAGACCTTGTCTCACAAACAAACAAAAAAACAACAGGAAATCTGGGTATAGGAATATAGAAACTCTCTGTAATCTTTGCAACTTTATTATAAATCTAAAGCTATTCTAAAATAAAAAGTTAATTTTTTTTAAAATGGCTTCCCTATGCTATGGTAGTTGGGGGGAAAGATGCTACTTTATGAATAACCTCTATACCTTACAAACCAGAAAGGAAGTTTTGAGCCTACCAAAAACAAACTGAAAAACTCTGCCCATCCAATCCTCCCAAATCCTCACCCCAAATCCACATGAATTCCAACAGGCTGTTAAAAACATACAACTCACTACATTTCAGAAATTTCTTACTGTGACTCATAAAGTTCTCTTAAACCAAAATCTTTTAAGATAACTAAAAATATTGCCAGTAGCCAAACATTTACATGTTACAACGGTAAGACAGCAGTCCTGTCTCAGCAAATTAAAAGTTGACTGGACCAAATATCACCAGAAGTAAAAGCACAGCAATTACAGATATGCATATTTAAGGACTATGAAGAAATCACATATAAATATATGTGTCTTCACGCCTTCATATATCTATATACCTACACGTAGTCCTACACACACATTTGCACGATACATATACATATATATTTAAATATAAAAAGTTGATCACAGCCAATGGCTTCCTCAACCAAGAGTTTAAGAGATCAAATTCAAGTATAAATATTTTGTCCACTTTCTTAAGAATTGTCATAGCTGGGATTTGACCTTAGATTTCACACTCAAAAGACTTTTCACATCACCCAGCCCCATAGCAAATTACTATAGGGATTTCAAATAATTAAAATTTGGAACTGTCAATGTGTTACTTAAAAAATTTGGTAGTCAGTTAGAGTCACAAAATAGGTATGATCGGCTTGGGAGAGAGTCTGGAAGGGGACCTGGGGGATCGTTATTTCAGTCCCAAGTGTTTCCAAGGAAATCCGATGACCACAGCTATAGTAAGGCCCAGCTCCAATGTCAACTCAGTTACAACAGAGCCCTGTGATGTGACTCCCCCAGGTTACAAAGATTCCCTTTATAGCACAAGCCTCAGTAGACATTAGAATCTGAGTCCAAATCTCAATTTCACTAATTTGAATTACATGAACTTAGTTACATATCTCTAAATACAATGTCCTCATCTATTACACAGCAAGAAAAATAGTACCTACATCACAGGGCTATTTCAAGTATTAAATGGGCTTCATGTAATCAATCAATACATCTATTAGGCTATTATAATGTCCCTCATATATGAAACACTACACTCTAAAACTCAGCATATGTTAAAAAGCTTATTCTCTAATGAGGTTAAATATTTACAATTAAGATCCCTTTAGAAATCTACAAATACATACAAACACTGCATAACTTGTTATGTTAACATAATATGCAGAAGGAAAGCGAATCATAAAGTAATTCATGAAGTAGATTTCTAGATATTACCAAGACCTTACCAAATCACTAAGATGAGATTTGTTCATGGAAAAACAGATCTGGGACTTTTTAATTCAGGCTGTGAAATAATACTTATTGGCTCTTATTTTTACAACATATGCATCTATTGTGAGCATTGATGTCACTGGCATAAGGTTACAGCCCTATCTTACCAGTTAAGGTATGAGTTTTCTAAATTCCCAAGGGAGGCCAGCTGTCTCCACCCATCCCAGAGCTGAAGACTGAATGATTTCTTAAGACTGTGCCTCAGATTGGGATGAAGGTGAAGCTAGACAAGCCCAGGACTACAGTGATGTTTGAATCTACGTTAGGATTCCCTTCCTAAACACAAGAAAAAAAATTTGAAATGCAGATCATAGCTCCTACCTTCAAACACAGTTTATTTATAGGTAGCTCTAATGTATTCACAAGGAGCAAAAAAGTATACAATGCTTTAAGTATTATTCTGAATGTTAATTTTTTCAAAAAGTGACACACTCACATCTGACCAATGGAGTGGCGACAATTCAACAACCTCAGGATCCAGCTGTCTCCTCTCTGAGCATTAGCTCATCTACCCGCTCTTCTTGCCATGCTCCTAAGGCAAAGGTCCTGTAATCAAAAACCACTACCTTCACACTATCAAGCCAAAGGCGGGCCAGGTTCCTTTCCCCCTGCCTTCCCTCCCTTCCCACCATGAACTTGTTAGTCTCTCCTAGCTATAAAATGTTCATGCCCCTGTTTAAAATAATTGTAATAGTAATAAACTCCCAAGAAAATAAAAGCTGGAGCACAAAGTCTTGCCGGTTAAACATCTTGGGAAAAGGTCAAAATAACCTTCCCAGAAAAGCCCTCATCTTGTGGCCAAAGCTGTCAAAGCCTTTCCTGCTATGTAGCGAAGTAAAATCCCCACACTGGCGTCCTTCTTACACTGTCCATTTCCTCCTCTCTTCTCCCTGGGCTCTGTCCTTCCTGGTCACAGGCTGGAAAATGCACTGGTGGTGACATGACCCTATATTTACATAAATTCCCACAGTTAAATGTTTCCTTTAGTTAAACTTGAGAAAATACCTCTTGAAAAATTAAAACTTGTAAGTCATAAAAACGACCTAAATTCCCACTATCTAATCCTCTCATTTACATCCTTTCCCCTGTGTCTCAAAATTCATCAGATTTCAAGCACTTGACAAAGCTGCAGACATACAAACTAAGCATGAAACATGAGCTATGCCTTTAGCTACCTGAGCTATCAGCAGACATTGTCATTTTGAAAGAATATTTAAGAAAAAAATCACCAAAAAACTTACCATAGCCTAATACTGGCAATGGGGGTCTTAAGGATCAGTTCTCATTAAAACCACTAACAAGCACGGGCGCAGTGTGGCAAAAGCAGCCACTGTGTTTGACAAGGTCATCAGCCACAGCAGTCAGAACAAGCATGAAGGAAACTCATACCATGGTGCAAAGGAAGAATATATTCTAGACTAACAGTATGTGAGCCAGGGCCACAGAGGGTCCAGGGCCCAAGTGTGGAGAAATAATAAATCACTATTCATGCAACAGACTACATGTGGCCAAACTTGTGCTCTTTGTCCTTGACTCAAGGAAGGGGCCTACCATGCCCAGTAACAGAGACTCACTGATGGGCCGCCTTGAGTCTTCCTAAGTGACATTTATTCCAAAGAACAAGGAGCAGCACCAAGACAAATGAACAAACAAGAGCTGAAGTTTGTGGCTTGTTTTCCAGACTGCTCAATTCTCATTAAGCATGCAAGCAGGAGTGCTGTGGTCAGCTGCAAGTGACGTTCTGCCTATGCCTGGCTAGCTCCTCCACAGAAGGAGCCTTATACGCAGAGCCTTGCCTTATAACCTGAAGCAAGTTCCTCACCTCTACCTCCCTATGTTCTTCTGCACTTGCTCAAAGTGAAAGTTCACTTATTAGGTAAGGAACAAGAATTCAATCCAAGTTTGCATTCAGTGTGCCAGGCACTTAAAGCTGTCACTCACATGTTTGCGCAATGAACTTATGGTCTCTTAGAGCCATAAAACATCCAAGTCTCTAGGATTATACTGTCAGGTTCCAAAGAATATAGTACAGTAATCATGAGAAATATCATGAGTTTCTCTTCTGAGATTACATACATATGCATATGTATTGTGTATGTGTATATATATATATATTTATACCTTCTCATACAGATATAAATAGGTATCAGAAGGTATATACGGTATATATGTGTATCTATGTATATATCCCTTTCCTTTATCTACCTCTAAGCTAGGAGAGGCATCTGGCTGAAGATTTCAAAGTATTAAAACTATTAAAATGAGATAATAGAAAAGAAAAAAATATTTTTAAAGAGTTAAAAGTATAAACTTATATAAGTGCAAAAATGTAACTGATGCTTAACAATTATTGGACTAGTTGGCAGAGAAAAATTTCTTTTAAAGATGGAATAGAGTAATGCTATTGTTAAACATCACACAAAAATGAACTATCATAATCTCCTATACGAAGCAAAACATTTCAAAAGCCACAGGTGATCAGAATTATATAACACCTTTTGAGGATGTACAAGCATTTTCAGGTACATTTCATTAATTTCTAGAATGTTTAATTAAAGAGTTGTTAGACCAAGGCCCTGAAATTTTCAAATATAAAAATCCTGCCTTGGAGGGAGTACTCTTACAGACCTGGGGGCTAGTTTAGAACAGCATTATTTTAGACAAGAGCCCCGTCTCCCTCCCTGCCATAACAGGAGATGCTTCATAAAGAAGTCTGCATCCTAAGTACAGTGCCAAACCTCTGCAGCTAGTATTTGGATTTTAGCCTTTATAAATGGACTTGTCAAAAGTGCATCAACATCCGAGTATTCTGGCAGCAGTAACCTAAATGGACTGACAAAGGCGGCTGCAGAGAGGTATCAGACACAAAAACGCCTGTAGACATAAAAATGGGAGTCTTAACCACCTACGAACTACAATTCTCTATCTGGGCAGCAGGTCCGATTCTGGGGTATTAGATCACTGCTCTCAGTTCCAGGTTCTCCAGTGGTAGGTAGTACAGTCTCTCAGACTTTGTCCTCTGAATGCAGGAACATTATTGAAGCTAAAGTACCTGCTTTGGACACTTCCAGCACGGGTGCTGGGGTGATAGGAAACACCATCAATTCGGCTGCCGACTACAGCTGAAAAAAACTAGGGAATAATCCTCAGAAAATGGCACTGTTAATGGGTACAAAAAACACGGATAATAGGAATAAGCTCTAGTGTTCAGTAGCACAATAGGATAACTATAGTTAATAATTTATTGTATATTTCAAAATAACTATAAAAGTGAATTTGGAACAAAGAAATAAATGATAAAGGTTTGAGGTGATCGATATTTCAATTACCCTGATTTAATCATTACATTGTATGCTTGAATCAAAATAGCCCATCTCCTATAAATATGTACAACTTGTATGTGTCCATAAAAACTAAAAACTAAAAAAGAAAGAAAATGACAAATAATAAAATCTCCTTTATCCCCGAATCCCACATTTCCGTTTGGTCTTCTGAAAAAATAACTTATCAATTTCTCAGCTAAAGAAACAATATTGACAGCGTACTATCTAAATTACAGCTTATGTTCTTTCCTTTCCAAAATATAAATTCACCAGTGAAAGTCTTGATCCTAAAGAGGGCGGGAGATCAACCCGCCTAGCATGAGAGCACGGCTTAAAATAAACAAATGCTGTTAAGTAATCCTCAGGTAGAACAACTTTCTCAGCCAGCAGGACCAGGAACTCAAGGTCTAGCTTAAGCTGGATATTTAAGAAGAAATTACAATCCTGGAGTCAAGTGACTTTTTCAATGCACACAACAAGATGTAATCAAATCAGTAGACACTTTACTAGGAGGAAGCTAAGCAAATGGTTATTTCACTTAAGATTAGGGAACTCTTAAACCCAAGGACTTGAGAAGCTGGGAAGAGGAGGGGGAAAGGGTTTGACTCCCAAAGTTTGCGTTTCCGAAAGTGGTTAACACAACTCTGGGAACAAATCCTAAAACCAATACTTCCCACAATCTCATTTCCCCTCATTCCGCATCACCCATCGCCCCAAAATAAAAACAGCTACTACTGCACAGCCCTTTGGTTACGCAGGAGATGGGGACCTGCTCCTGGCATACAAAGCGGATGCGGACGACCGAGGACAACACACGTGGGGGCGTTCGCGGGCGCCGAAACCAGCTGCGAGGCCCACGCCCCCCGCCGGGGACAGCTGGTGACCATCACCTTTGGACAGGCGCATTCCCCAGCCAGCCCCGGGACTTGCGAAAGCAGCGCGGCCCTTCGGACTCAGCCAGTCGCGCAGGGCCCGGGGCCCGGGCGGCTCCGGGCACCTGAGGAGCGCGACGTGGGTGGGGACAGAGAAGGGTACAGGGACGGCACGGGAACGACTCGGGGACCGGGAGGCGCGCGGACCCACCTGGATCTGCAGCGGCACGAGGCGCACCTTGCAGCGCTCGCTCACCGCGAAGCCCTTGGGCAAGTCCACGTACTGGCCCCACTCCTCGGCGAAGAGCTGCACCACGAATTTGCGGTGCATGTCGATCTGGTCGCCGTACAGGCTGAGGAACTTCTGGATGAGCAGCTCGTAGCCCGCGCCGTGCGGCACCGACGAGGGTCGCGCGAAGACCGAGAAACAGAAGAGCACCGGGACTGTGCCCGACGGCGCCCCCGCGCCCACGCCGCCACTGTTGGGGAGCGCAAGGACCGCTGGCTCCGCAGCCGCCATGTTCCCCCGAGCGTCTGCGAGCTCCGAGGCCGCCGAGGCGCACCCAGCCGGCCGCCGCGGCCCCGCCTCCTGGCGCCGCCAGCCCGCCCGCCCGCCTTCTCACGGAGGCGAAGGGGCGGGTCCTGACGGCCGCTGCTAGCGCGCTGTGCTCCCCGCCCCGGAGGGCGGGCTGCGGCGGAAGGTTGGGTGGTGGGGCTGGGGTGCGCGCGCCAGCCGGGGAGCGCCTGCGCCCGCCGGACCGGTCCGCCCCCTCCAGCCTCCCGGGCCGCCGCAGCGCTGCAGCTTCCCGCTCGCGCCCCTTCCGCCGCCGCTCTGACTGCGGCAGAGCGCTCAGTAGTCTCGCAGACCCGAGACCCTCCTGGGCTGCTCACTTGTTCTTGCCCCGGTACTGCAGCTCACACAAGGGTTTGTGCCACCCTTCCCCCAGCGCTGGCCCTCTTCCCGGCTTCGCTCGCCTTCGAATGAGCAGTGTTCTCGAAGTCTAGGTTACACAGAACCGCCAGGACGAGTTACCTGTTGGCTCTGTGCAGAGGCACGCAGCCCTCGAGATGGCAGTGGTATGTTACAACCAAAGGGACAGTCCGATAGATACCCTAAGAAGAGCAGCTGAAGTTGATCCTTTAGAGGGCCACCCAAGGTTCAAGTTTTGTCTTTTTTCAGTCCCATAGAACACAACATCTCCAGGAATGGATTTGTATTCTTGGCCTCCCTTCATCTCAACCTATTTCCGAGAGAACTTGGATTGGGAATATAAATATTAATCTTAAAGGCAGAAATCTGAACTTTATATTCAAACTCAGGATATCTGTTTTTTAAGTAAAAGGAATCACTTCCGAATAAAACAATCCTCTGCCTTCTGCACACTGTAAGGCGCTATCATTAACTGCAATTAGCATGCATATGAACAGAATTTCCTTGGAACTGAGTCCTGCGAAGACAGGCATGGGTCTAAACATAAAATTAGATTTTAGGTATTAAAGCTGTCCTCTTAAAAAATAACCTTTAAGGCAGGGTTTCCCAGCTAGCACTGTTTACTTCTGGAATGTACATTTCTTTTTATTGGGGTTGGGATATCTTGTGCATTTGTAGGATGTTTAGCAGCATCACTGGCTTCTACTCCAGCTAGATGTCTGGTGACTGCTCTTCCCTCTAGTCATGACAATCGGAAATGTTTCTGGGAATTTCTGATTGCCTCAAAGGGCAAGTTTGCACCAGAGAGCAAGTTTGCACCCCACTTGAAAACCACACTGCTTTAAAGTTATGAAAAGACCATCTTTTGACGTTTCTTGTTCACTTTTACCGAAGCTACTCAGAAATAGTCACTTTTTCTGATTCTCATCAAACTTTGAGAGATCCCATTTAAAACTGTTGTCTGAACCCATCAGACCCAAAATGTTTTTTCCAGATATCATTCTATTGCAAGATATTTTATATGCAGATATGCTAATTTGTGCTAATAAGTTAAGTGTACCCCGTAAAGACCTACTGATTACCAAAAGGTGCCTATTTGGGGTGGGATAATAAAAGTGTTCCTTCCACACTGTAAAGCCTTCTAAAACAGAATAGGTTGGAGATTAGAGATTGGCCTGGACTTCAGACACCTTCAACAAGGACCTTGGCATCTACACAGTGTTCTGTGGTGGCCCTCATGGCCCTGAGTCAACACACTTCATTTCCCTTTCATGTTTTAAAATTAGGTTTCTGACTTTCAATAAGGAAACCTATTTCCATATCCACTGTGCTATCTGAGATTGGCCTTTGGCAACCTAGTTTAATGGTGCAATCATTGTGGTAATAGCATGTTAAGTAGCATGAATAAAATAGATACTTGATGGGCACATTTACCATTTATTGAGTACCAACTGTGTATCAAGCTCTGCATCACTGGGCTACAAAAGGGAGGTGAGGGCACATTTCACTGATAAATTATTTTCCTCAGAAATACAATTATTAGGACAATTTTTATAAATGTTACTAGAAAAAGTGAATAAGAACCCATAAATAAATATTCCAATGACAAGTAGAAAATAAGTGTTCTAATTGACAAGATCATTATTGTGGACCAAATGTCTAAAATTCTCTCATATAGGACTCTCAGTAGCTTTACTATTTAATATTAAATGCTTACTTTCAGAATCTAAATTCCAAGAAAATCAAGAAGGTATATTACACAGTATTGATTAATGCATTAATATGCTGCAGAAAGAAACTGCAAAATCTCAATGGATTGATACAACAAAGGCTTATTTCTCACTTTTCCCAGTTACAGCAGCATTTGACAAACCAATTATTCCCTTTATTTTGAGCCATATTCATTTTGTCTTTTGTATACCACTCTCTCTTTTTTCTCCTTCCACCACACTCCAAGCTCTTTTCCTATGTTCCCCTCATTCCCCAAACCTCTATGAGTATACCAGAGCTCAGTCCTCACATCTATTCTCCTAAGACTGTGGCTTTAAATATTACCCACATGCCTTTGATTTCTAAATTTTTAACATCTAGGACCTCTGTCTGAACCCCCGACTCATATTCTACATCTCCACTTGGATATATAATAGAAACCTCATATTTAACATGCCCTAACAGAACTCTTAGTTTTCTTCTGTCATCAAAAATTTTCTCTCCCCTGTTGATATCTAGGCAAATGGCAACCCCATTTTAGTAATGAGCACAATAACCAGGGGCTTATCCTTTAATTAACTCCTCTTTCTCTCCTTGTGCAGTCTATTAGCAAGACCTAGTGATCGGAACCGAATTCCTTTCATTCACACCAGTGCCACCACCTAAGATGAAACCACTGTCATCTTCCATCTGACTGTAACTCATCATAAGTTGTGCCCAATATTTGACTTTTGTATCCCTATTTATCCATTTACATCATTTACATACACTTTTATACTCCATTTCCCACATGGCAATCAGAGTGGTACTCTTTTAAAAATATAAATTTAGAACTTGTCACTGCTCTGTTCAAAATCCTCCAGTATATATAAACAGACCTCAAGACAATCCATATGTTGGAGGTAAGAGAAAAGAACTTTAAAGAAGTTGTTATAAGTATATTCAAGGTTTTAAAAGAAAGGGTAGCCATAAGAATAAGCAGATAGGGCCCGGCACAGTGGCTCACACTTGTAATCCCAGCATATTGAGAGGCTGAGTTGGGTGGATCACGAGGTCAAGAGATCAAGACAATCCTGGCCAACATGGTGAAACCCCGTCTCTACTAAAAATACAAAAATTAACTGGGAATGGTGGTGTGCACCTGTAGTCCCAGCTACTCAGGAGGCTGAGGCAGGAGAATTGCTTGAACCCGGGAGGCGGAGGCTGCAGTGAACCGAGATTGCACCACCGCACTCCAGCCTGTTGCAAAAAAAAAAAAAGAAAGAAAAAAGAAAAAGAAAACATAGCCAAATGTAACTTTTCAAGCTAAAAGTACAATGTCTGGAGTGAAATGCTCACTGGATAATCTAAATATCAGATTATAGGTTCCAGAAGAAGTGATTGGTGAAATTGCAAACAGATTACTAGAAATTATCCAATGTGAAGAACAGAAAGAGACTGAAAAAACTATGAAGACAGTTTTAGTAACCTGTAGGACAATATCAAGTGATCTAAACATGTAGTTGGGAGTCCAAGAGGTAGAGATGAGACAAGAGTGGAACAGAAAGAATATTGGAAGAAACAACAGCCAAAATGAACTGTCTATTAAGTCTTCAGTGTGCTGATTTTTATCTCAGAGTCTGCTTTCCAGGGAAATCAACCTATGACATTTGTTGCCAGGAAGGACCCAAGGAGGCTAATTTGGATGGATTTTGGAGCTGGATCGCCCACTGTTGGGCAGGTAATGAATACCTAACCACTGATATTTGTGTAACACAGATAGTCCCTGGCAGTTTTTTTCAACTTCCAGTGGAGATGAACTGGAATCATATACTACTGGAATGCCTTCACTGTATCAAGCATTTGAAAAATATGGAGGAATACTAATTATAAGAATAAAGAAATTGAATGACAATTTCAAAGTTTGATTGATGCTCTAGAAAAAGACAAAAAAAAAAAAAAGATAATTGGCAACTAAAAGCTAAGTGTGAAGGCTGGAGGACCTTTTTGGAAGCGTCAAGTCTATCAATGCCTACAGTGAGAAGAGAGAGGAAGCTAAGGACCAAAACTAGGACTTAAGAGTAGCACAGCTTCAAAGAAGGTTAAACTCTTAAAAAATGCATATTTGCTATGCCAACCTCAGGGCTCTGGTTGGGAAATGGGACCATGACAGGGATAAAAGACCCTGAAAATTATGAGTTCTCAGATTTTAAATGATCTGGTCTTTAGAAGTGACCTACTCTTTTCTTAATGACTAGCATTCCCTCGTTTCTTTAAGGCAATGTAAAGCCTTTTCCCCAGTAAGACATTAGCTTTCCCAGGCTCTTCTCCCTCCTTCCCTCCAGATACCTATATCCATAAGTAGGCTTAATTAACAGCAAAATCTGGCCACAGATATGTTGGGCCTCAAAAAGAAGGAATATACCCCAAAGCAGCTACAGAATCTAGCTAGCATATACCATCAGTTACAGAGAGATTATGCTCCGGAGGATGCACTGGATTTAGAGGGTGTGTGATTGAGGATGTGGAACATAAAAGTTAGTCAATTAGAAAATACTGTATTAAAATAGAGGATTTAACACCTAGTAAGGCTCTCAGGAGTTGGTCTAAACACAGTGCTTCTAAGGCTGCTCTTAATGGGCCATAAATTTACAACCTCACAGCAAGGCTATGTTAACTGTCCTGCCTTCTATTACAATATATTCTGAAGTGACATAAATTAGCTGGACATCCTATAGAATATCACACCCATTCACTATATCAATAACATCATGCTGATTGAACAAGATGAACAAAAAGTTACTGTTCACTGAAGGCCTTGGTAAGACAGACGTGTTCCAGAGGGGAGTGATAACCTCTAAGTAGTTTCAGGGAACCACTACATTAGTAATATTTGGGGGTCCAGTGTCCTAGGGCATTCTAAGACATCCCCTCCAAAGTACAGGACAAACTATTGCTTTTGACACTTGCATTTTCTACCATGACTAAGGAAACACAATGTTTAGAAGACTTCTCTGG